CATGGGGCTCATGCCTCTAATCCTGACACTCTGAGACAGTGGCAAGAGAATTGCATGTTCAAACCCTGACTAGGCAACTTAATGAGACACCCTCACCCCAAAATAAAACAATTTTGAAAAAAAGAGCCAGGTGTGATGGGCATGTCTGTAATCTTAGCACTCAGGAGGCTGAGACAGAAGGATCACTATGAGTTCAGAGGCCAGCCTGGGCTGCATACTGGGACCTTGTCACAAAATAAAACAAGAAGGCTGGGACTGGAGCCCAGTGCATAGGTCCTTAGTTCAGTCCCCTGCTCCTGCATAGTGTGTGCCGTGCTGGCATGGTGTGTGTCTCATGTAAGTCCTGTCTGTAGATGGCACTTTAAGTAGCTGAGGCAAAAGTTCTGATTCTTTGCCCTGTCTCTCTTTTGGAGATATTTTTGGCTCTAAAAGCCTTAGCATTCATTTTTTCGGTGGATCTTGAGCACCTGGTGTATATAAGACACACTGCATGTTGGGAGTGGGGTGTCAGTCAGACCACGCCACAGAGCTCTGTGCAGTTTACAATGACAATTTGCCAGAGTTCACACAGCATGGAGCCAGCCTTCAAGTGTGAGAGATGTAGGAAGTGGCCACTCTGGTTCCACCCTTTCCTTCCCAGAGTCAGCATGATCCAAAGACACATGACCAATACAAATGCCACTTTCCCTAGTACTAACATGGCACACATTTTGGGGTTTTGTTTATTTGTTTGTTTTGTGGTACCAGGGATCAAACTCCAGAACTTGCACTTGCCAGGTAGGTGCTTAAGCCTCTGAGTTATCTCCCCAGCCCTATTAAAATATCAGTGTAGGGGCTGGTGAGATAGCTCAGTGGTCTAAAGCACCTACTTAGAACAAGCTAAGCTATGAAAGCACAGGGACCGCGGTTCAATCCCCCAGTACCACATACCAGCCAGCCCCGCCCCCTGGTGGACTGAGCTGGCCACAAACACACTAAATAAATAAATAAATAAATAAATAAAGAGAAAAAAATTAATTATATGTTTATGAAACTAGAATATTAAAAACAAACTAAACTCAATGCAAGAGAAAGGAAAGAAATAAATAAACAGAAATCTATCAAGTAAAAAAGAGAAAAACATTAGAAAATCTCAGATTATTCAAACATTAGTTTTCTGAAAGATTAATAAAACTGATAAACTTTTATGTAGACTGAAATTGAAAATACAGAAAAAATTGAAATTGTAAAGGCTAAAGATAAGACTATTGCATGCATAATAATTAAAATACTGCCTTGGGAATATTGTGAACTTTGAAGAAAATAAATTAGGTAATTTTGATAAAATGAATGAAAAACATTACTGGATGGAAACAAATTCATTAAATGAATAAATGGCAAAATAATACGATAAAATTCTTTCAGAAATTGAATTAGTCATTAAACTCCAACCACTACAGAAATCAATGTGGAGAGTCCTTAAAAAGCTAGGATTGCAGATTCCATTCAACCAGCTATTCCCCTCTTGGGTATTTTTCCAGAGAGCTGAAAGCATCATACCACAGTGATGTATGTGCATCCATGTTTATAGCAGTACACTTTGCCATAGTTAAATCCTGGAAGCTACCCAAATGCTCATCAAATGTGGAATGGATAAAGAATATGTTGTATTTTTACACAATGGAGTATTATTTAGCTATAAAACAGGATAAATTTGAGTCTTTTTTCAGTAAATGGATGTAACTAGAGACAATACTCTTAAGTAAAATAAATCAGACCTGCATGTGTAAACATATTGTCTCAGTGTAAGAACCTGAAAGAGAAAAATGGAATCTGAAGGGTACAATAGATACTAAAAACATGGGAATGAACTTATTCAAAGGGAAAGAGTTACTGAGTTGAGGAGAAGACTGGGAGAGGAAGTAGGGGGAAAAAGATATATGTATGTGTGTAAACAGGATGGTTTGGACAACTGTACTGTGCATTTCAGATGGTGTATGGAAAGGAGCAGAGAATACTTAAGTTGTTTTATCTCTTTTGTTCTGTTGATTGCACTTTTTCTCTTTCTTTCTTTCTTTCTTTCTTTCTTTCTTTCTTTCTTTCTTTCTTTCTTTCTTTCTTTCTCTTTCTGTACAGTGTCTACAAGATCTCACTAAACAGATTGGACTCATAGTCACTCTCTTGTTTTTAGCCTCCCAAGTGCAGGGATTACAGGTGCACGTGCCACCATGCCTAGTCTCTATCTTTGTCTCAGCATGCCCTGGGGCCAGGGCCAGCACTACACACTGGGGATCAAACCCCAGTCCTTGTGTCTGCCTAAGCAGTCACTTTAATCTGCTGAGGTTTCTGTCCAGCCTCTTAATTTCTTCTACACTTTTTTCTTCTTCCAATTTTAAATGCATATATTTGGTAATATGAATAACTGGTTGGAAGACAACAATACGTATTACAACAAATAATGTGAAATTCATATTACTTTGTTAAGTGAAAGTCTGTATCACTTGTATTCTTTTTTTTTGGGGGGGGGTGGCTCAGGCTGCCTTAAGGGTGGGTCTGATAAGGCATGTGGAGCTGGGGATCAAATCATGGTATCCTGCGCCTGACTGTTTTTGCATAAGCAGGCACTTAAACAACTGAACTAACTGGCAGACCCCTCTGTCTTCTTTTGTTTTAATACTTTTTGTACTCTTTAAAAAAACAAGTTGTTAAAAGCTGATAATCTCAAAAAAATTAAATAATGCAAGATTCCATGTATAACAATATCCATTATGATGCTAGACCCATATTAGTTGCTTAGGGAATGGATACTAGTTAAAATTGTGTTAAAAAATAAAATTTTGTTTAAAGCAATTTAGTTTTTGTAATATTTATTTATCATGTTTCATCTTTTTTTATACAAGTTCCTAGCTATGCAGTTCACATTGGCCTTGAGCTCACCTTGTAGCCAGACTGGTATCTAACTCATGATGATCCTCTTGCCTCAGCCTTCTTAGTGCTGGGATTAGAGGTGTGCTCCATGATGCCTGGCTCAATGAGATGTGTGGATATGATGAAATGTTTTAAAACTGGTTTGCACTGATAGCTACAAGAGTCTATAAATTTAGTAAGAAAAAATTTAGTGTACATTTAAAGGAGGTCAATTATATGGTATATAATTATAAAGCTGTTTGTTTTTTAAAATACTGCTGATGAAGTACAGAATAAAAGAAGTCAGACACAGTATGCATGTGGTATGGCCAACTAAACTAAGCAAAGAATGGGAAATCAGAGAGCAAAACTGACATTCTTGATACTTGGACCATATCTTGATTCCTGATGTTTTGACATCATAACTATAATTTTTGAAATTTTGGCACTTTCCTCAAATGGTCAGTAGATGAGTGAATGTCTTTTTCACTTTAAATTTACAGGTTTTAATTACCTATCGATCAGCAGAGATTTGTCTTCTTAAGTATGGATGAATGTTTCTTCTCAAAAGTCATAGATCTGCTATCTCCTTTGATTTTAATCAGTTCTCTTTTCTACTACAAGTTAGTAGAATAACAACTGAATACCCAAGATGTACCTTACTACTGTTACATCTTTATCGGCATAAGTCTTAGCTGTATTGTCCAAGTACAGAGTAGCTTTGTTGTGTTTTGCAACAGTCATATTGTATTCTTTGACTTCTAGTTATTTATTCACTCAATATATGTTTTTTCTCTATATATCTAGAGTAAGTTTTCTTTTTTCTTTTCTTTTTTTGTGGTACTGGGGATGGAACTCAGTTTAGAGTAAGTTTTCAAAATTGATAATCTGCACATATTCTTCAAAGGTAAAAATATCTGAATGGCTATGATTGCTACTATGATAGATTCCAATTTTGTTGTTACGGCTGAAGTACTATATATTTTTGTCATGTGTCACCTTGTATCCTCCAGGCCAGCCACACTTAAATTACAATGGGTTGTGATATCAGTTGTCCTGAGTCTTTATGTTACTTTGTCTCCAAGAAATACCAACTTTATTATTTCATCTAACGTTTCTAGTCCTCTCCCAGCTTACTTCATTTCGATAATTTCTAATTGTGCCTCTAGAATTAGGAAAGATATTATTTCCTCTAGCACACTTTCTTTGAAGTCTTTCAGAATGAAACCTTCTGCTAGACATGCCCACTATGTTTTTAACTTGCTGGGTAGTCATGCATCTCCAAAGCATTGCATGCAGCAGATACTGAAGAATGAATGAATGAATGAATGAATGAATGAATGAATGAATGAATGAATGTAAGAAAGGATAAAACATTAAATATGGTGCTAATATTTCAATTGAGTGAAGATTAATGTGAAGCCCTGTGGAACCTGGTATATTGGTTCAATTATGTGAACATTTCTTGGTTCTGGCAGACATTCTGTGATTAAAATCATAAATTAAAAGAAGACACTTGCCGACACTTTGTTAGCATTCAGTCACCTCCACCCAGTGATTACCTAATTCTCTTTTCAAATAAATTTTCTCCTTTAACACGCCCTCAAGCAGTAGACTGAGTAAACACATGAACCTTGAACTGAACTCTGTAGGTCATTTAGACCATTTCTGGATAGAAAGACAATTTCAAAGTTGAAGAATTCACATCCTTACTTCATTTATAGATATATCTCTTTGAATATAAATGAAATAACTTCACTTAATTTTTCTCTTCAGTAGATTAATATATATCACAGTTGTCCTCTTCAATAACTTCTTTGATTTGATGGATAACTCAGAGTTGGTATTTGAGTATATTCTTTTTTTTTTTTTTTGCCAACCATTGGGGCACTTTATTAAAACAACTCACAGTATTTGAGACAGTGTTACCGTGCTGAACCCCGAGATATGGAAAACTGAGGTACCAACGTCCCTCACTGCCTTCCTGGGGACACCTCCTCCATGGAACCAAGCAGACCTAAGTAGCCCCGGCTGGAGGTTAGGGGCCTGCAAGGAGCAGTAAGAGCACTTGGAGGTGGGACCCGCGGCGCTACCCACGGCGCTGTCCGCAGCTGGGTCCCCAGTCTGACAGTTGTGGCATCATTGGCACGTGCAGGCTCCTCCTCAGCTGCTTTTATGAGCTTGCTCTTCCACATAGAGCTGCATCTTTAAGATGTCTGACGTCATGGTTTTTACGGGTATCAGCCTGGGGTCATGCATGTGGACGTCCTGCTCATCTGCCAGGATCCACGAGAAGTCCTTGATGACCTGAATCTTCTCCATGTTTCGAGTGGCAGCTTCTCTTGTATGCACCAGGACAGTGAAGGTGCAGCCTGGGGGATTGTGGTCCAGGACAGCATCACACACACTGATCTTCAGGATGAAGGCTCGGAGCAGCTGTTCCACGTGGGATAGCAAAGAGTCAGAGCTGATAGACAGCAAGGGAGGCTGGGTGATCTCAAAGACGAACTTCTCCACTGGTCGATGCTCTTTATCCAAAATCACCACCACCACCTTTTCTACATCGTTCTTTTCCAGAAGTGGCTTGACGCAGTGCAGTGTGTCCTGGATGTACTGATTCAGCTCAGGATGGCAGGACATCTGCACCGGTACGTTGTACTTCTTGCGCTTCTGGAAGATGCCTACCGGGTAGACCTCGCGCACGTACAGGATCAGGTGCACGGCCACCTCCAAGAACTCGCAGAGCATGTTGGCCACCACTTGGCCAAAGTTGAGGTCCTGTCGCGTAAGCGTAGTCATCCTCCCTGTCGCGCCCTGGGGTCGCGAGGTGGTTCGCCTCGGTGTGGGGCTGCCTGAGCAGGGCGCCCCCTCTGCCTGGATGTGGACAGCTACGGAGGACCCCCCACGTCGGTGTCACGGCCTGGGAGCACCGCTGCGCCCCAATCGGCCTTGTTCCACCGGGGTGGGGGTGCAGGAGAAAACCCAGCTGTGCGCGCAAATCGCGCGGGGCCGCGGACGCAGAGAAAACACCTGGCGGCGCAGGGCCGGTAGCTCAAAGCCAGACTCGCGGAAAGCAAAACCTACGGCGGGAAGTCCCGCCCCTTACCCGGTCAGATCCCTCCCCTGAGGGGCTCCCGCCCCTTCTGCCTTCCTGGTGTGGGCTCCCCGGCCTCCGTAACCCCCTGGGTTTAGGTCCGAGCCCCAGCGCGGGGAGCCGAAAAGTCGATCACTCCCACCTCCCACTTAACCCGCGCGCCCCTTCGGCGCAGCTCGAGTATATTCTTTATAATTAAAAAATATAATCTGGATTAAAAAAGCACCAAATGCTTGTATGAGATTAGGAAAAATTTTAGTACATTCTAATTCTTATAACTTAGGTGTTTAGTAAGTGTGGAGTAATTTATCTAGAATGCTAATAGAAAAAGTGCAAATTAATGACCTCTTTTATGAGAGAAATGATAGTTTATTATAATTGTACAATAAATAAATTTTACATATTACGCATTACAATTTACAAAAGCTGGATTTGTCATATTAAAATATTAGACCTATATGTGTGTTTATTTGTAGGGAATAAGTAGTTGACTACACTGAAGTAGATATTTCCATTTAATTTTTTTATTGTTTACATAATTTTGTTTCCTCTAGTAAATAAAGTGATTTAAAGTGACACCCTATAGAATTACTACTGTTGAAAATAGAAAAGGATTCAAATAATACCTTGATATACTATATATGATATATATAATATATATAATATGTTCATCTTTGACAGTAAAGTGATATAATCCTGTACACCAGGAACTACAAAGATTGGCTGCAGTTTACTAGATGCTAAGAGCAAAAGATGGAGCATTTGTGTTACAGCCCTGCAGAACTGTGATCTCCTAATTTTTTCTTTCCTGAGTCCACAGCCTTTGCACTCAGCTACATATCCAGTCCTCCTTTCTATTTAATTAAATTAATACACTCATTAATTTAGAGATAGACTATCACTGAAATATTAAATCATTCAGGCTGGGCTCAAATTTGTACTCTTTCTGTGGCAGCCTCCCAGAGAGCTGAGATTACAGGTGTCTCACCACATGTGATCTGATCTTATAATTGTAGCCTCTATAGCTATGGCAGTAATACATGTCTGATGTGTAAGCCAGCCAATGGATAGTGTAGTATTTCTTAATAGTAGGCCAAGCAAGCTAACTCTGTGATTAAATACCAGTGTTGTTTTTATATGTATTGAAAATGGCAGAAGAAGATTTTAGCTGAGCTCTCAATAATTCAATAAATGAGGTGTTAGCTCAAAACTGAACAGGTGTGGTTAGCTTGATCAAAAGTCATACAACAGCATGATGTACACAGGAACCTACTGTAAGTGGTTGTTAATCAAAATGTCAGCATAGTAGTGAAAAGTGTCAGAGCAAACAAAAAATAAATGAATTTATGAAAATGGCTGATAGCTTTCAAGACAGACTTATGCTTAGTGATTTTACCAATCTAGTTGCTTTACCTATTTCTGCTCTTGAAAACCATTAACTTCTTTTTTTTTTCCTTTTTAACATTTTCTACTTCTTTACACTCTTCTCCCACCAAAACACTCATTATGTGTTAACATACTGTACAGCTAAGCAATTTGGTTGTTTAGTTTCTATGCCTTCTGCTACTAAAAGATAAGCAAAGGAACATAGGGCACAGAGTTTATGTCACACTGTGACATAGGACTGTGTCCTAAAGGGTCCACAATACTGCTAAATGAATTTGAAAAAGGGGGAGAGTTTCATACAAAGGGCAGAGAAAATTACTAAATAACTCGAATATATATATATATATATATATATATTCCCTAACCATCTAATGAAATGAGGGGACTTGTATTATTAATAGTAAGAATTGTGTCATCTTTAATATTTAAGCTTAAAATATTCTAAAATATGCTTCAGCTACACAAAAAGGGAAGTACTACAGAAAATTATGTTAAACATCATAGATTTATCATGATTTTATAATTATTTCTTTATTACTAATCTTTGCCCATTTCCATGAGAGGCTCCTAGCTATTTAAATTTTTTTTTATTTACTTTAAAAATGACTATTACATGCTGGCATTGACCCTGGGGTACGCTGAGACAGCAATTGAGACTGGGTGTGGTGGCACATGCCTGTAATCCCAGCTCTTGGGAGGCTGTAAACAAGTGGATCACTACAAGTCTGATCTGGTAGTGAGATCCTGAACACCCTGTAGACCCTTCCCTAAAAAAGTACAAACAAACAAAAAAAGAATGACTATTGCATTAAAAATATTTGTGTAAAATACAATCAGACTATAATCAAACTCAAACTCAGCCAGCACTCAGGAGGATGAAGTAGGAGGACAATTGAAAACTTGAGGCCAACAAAGGCTACAAAATGAGTTCAAGACCAGCCTGATCTTCTTTCACAAATATATATAGAAACTCAATGCCTTGTTTTATGGAAATGTATGTGTTTCATTAGTATTTGTAAAAGTTGCAATCTTCATGAACACTTTTCCCTGTTCTATTATTTTATCATTTAAAATTATAGCACAAACTTACACTTACTGAATAAACAAAATAAATAAAAATAGATACTGAATGACTATGTTAAAACATACTTGAAATTAATATATATCTATAACCTCATTATTTTCAACTACCTTTGCTTAATATCATTTCTCTTATCTGATTAACGTCCCATAATTTATAATTTAGAAATTGAAAAGGAAGCGTAAATATTCTGAATTCTTTCCTATTAATATAGCTTTGGAGGACATGAAATATCTTATTTACTTTGATAACAATTTTCCAAAATAAAAGTGAACATAGAGGATTGGCATAACTTATTCACTTTTGAAACCTAGAAAGGCAAAAGTTAGTTCTTAACTGAGACTTTCTGCTTCCAGTTCTGGTTCCGTGCATGTCCTAGTGTATTTTCTCACAAGGAAGTACAGGATCAGAATGTAAATTGTTAATTGAAGGCATGTCTACCTAAGGACCCATTATACTATTCATAACTTTACCAGAGTTGTTTGCATCAGCTCTTAGGACACCATGCAGTAGCTCAGAGACCTGTTCTCAAACTACAATGAGAGATCTTACAAAACTATAAATAAATGGAAATTGACCCAATGTATAGACAGTATATCCCTGCTCTAAATCACAACTCTCTGCTTTCTGAATCAATTTTCTGTGGCCTTTCTATTACTTAGTTAACATGTTTTTCACACAGGTTTCTCTCACAGTGACATTAATGTTGTGATTCAGCACAGTACAAGTACACCCTTAAACAATTCAGAGGGCTGATTTGCCAGCAAGGCCTGTTTTCTAAGATGATCAAAGCCATTTCTAACATCTGTGGGGATGCTTATCATGAAAGACAGCTGCATTGAGAACATGTTTTAATTCTAACCAAAGTTACTTTATAATCCCTTTCCACTACACCCCATCACAGCACTTTGCAAATGTTTCTGTCATAGTTTATGGATGTTCAGAACTGGTTATTTGTCCATGTCTGCTTTTTCCTTAAGCTAACCTACTGGAAAGCATTACAGTATGTTTTTTACATTCTTTTTCTTTTTTAAATATTCTTTTTTTGAAAATGTATTTAGTACAATGTCTACAGGGTCTCACTGCACAGATTAGCCTCATGGAGATTCTCCTACTTTCAGCTTCCCAAGAGCTGGGATTGCAGTTACATGCTACCACACCCAGCCCCAGGGGATGGGCTGGAAGGGCAGGCTGAGGATCAAACATGAGTCCCTGCACCTGCCTAAGTAGGTGCTTTAATCCACTGAGATATCTGGCTGACCCTTGTTTTTCACATTCTTTCCAAGGAACCTGTATGTATTTCTGACTGGTATTTGTTCTTACTGGATGAAAATTCTAGGTATGGACTGAAATACTGAATGAATAAATATATGAAGCATGTGGTAAGCTGTAATGTAAGTAGTGTAATGTCAGTGCTTATTCTCCATAGGTTCTGGAGAAATTTACTTTTTTTTTTTGTGGAACTGGGGATTGAACTCAGGCCCCTGTGCTTGCCAGGGAAGTGCTTATTCTACTTAGCTATCTCCCCAGACCCCAGAAACTTACCTTTTATAAAGTTATTGTAATTGTGCACAGGTGCTACATTTTTAGAGATTATTACTAAATAAAGATCAAATTAATGTTGCATTTCCCAGAGGATATAGAGAATTTAATCTCAAAGACATGTTGTTGCCTTGGAGGTAGGAGATGGGTTTTAATCAGCAAAGAGGAGAAATAGAGTAAAAAGTCCTTTACCCATTTTCCAAGCTAAATCACCTTATCCTTCTAGACATAGTCTTCCTGCTGTTAACAGAGGAAAAGCAAAAAAATTAATTCCCAGCATCACTTCCCTACTCCTCTGGCAGTCTCTGTATCAAAGACATTGGGCTGCAAATCTTCACTGCTGAGGGAAAATATTAACTTTCTTCTCTCCAGACACAACAGGAGCCTAGAAAATATCTTTCACCTTTTTGGTACCTAAGGCTGTATTCAGAACAGCCTGAACAACAGTACTTAGACTGTAGGAAATCAGCAGTTTGGGATATACCTTCTTGAGGTGGTTGTGCAGATGATTTGTCAAATGATTGCTGTCTTCGGAAGTGCTTTCTCTTGTTGGGAGATTTCTATGTGCTATTTCACTTGCAATATTTTTTTTGACTGCTAAATGCTAATCAGTTTATTTATTTTTTATTTTATTGAGAAACAAATAGCAATGAGACAGTTTCAAAACTGGTTAGTAGGACAGTTTCAATAATTAATACATTGTACATTGTTATCTTCTTAGTGGTTATCCATAGTACAAGATGCAGACAGGATATCCTGTCCACAACACTATTAGTACAAATCTTTCTTCTTTTTGAATTAAGAGAAAGTAGTTGTATATCTATCCTAAATATTCTGTATATACAAATACAAAATGGTCTTTAATTTGTATCCCCTTATTTTGTTTAGTCCTGTCAGAGATGGGTATTCCATTGGCATCTAAATACTATAGGTGTGTGAATTCAGCAAAACAATCCAACACAGTCCAGCAGTCCACAATAGTAGTGGGTTATCCACAGAAGTTGTTGACTTGAGCCTTTTACAACTCAGCATATCAATAGGGCTTTACTTTATATACCTCGTTTTTATATTTTTCTGCTGGATGGTTAAGACCAAGATAAAGCAAGACCTGCATAAGAAGAAATGTAACTTTGACTTGCAAAATTTTGATGCCACATTTAGCAT